AAATCTCCAGAAATCAAAAGAATAATAATGATAGGATTCAGGTAGAATTGTAGCTACACAGACATATATTGTTATGGAATTCAGCAAGCACGGCTGTCGCTAGCGTGGCTCTTGTTGAGGATATGTAATATTCTGCTGCACACCAAAGTATTATCGCAGTGTTGTGACCCCCCCTAGAATGCACATCGAATCCTCAAATGATGGAGTTGTTCTGATACCCCAGATCCTATTGTCCGCAGAAGTACTCGGACGCGAAACATTGGCCTCCCCATCCATCATTGTAAGGGAGTGAGACTCCCTACACTGTGATTTGGTAATATTGAGTCTCCATTATTACCTACTCCATTGTAGTCCACATCCTATTGTGCTTACATCCTATTGTTCTCCATTAGTATATATTATGTACATGTGGATTTCAATACAGTAGTGGTTTATTCCCCACCACTCATTCTAGTGTCTGTCTGCACCTGCAGCAGATACTAGTCTTACATCATGATAGATATCACATGTGATTATGCAATCAGCCTTCCTTTCAGACTATGGCCTGAATATGCAATTTTGGTACTTAATGGCTATTTCCATAAATCTCAAAGGATTTTCATGCGCATGGAAAAACGAAATATATGTAGGAAGTAGTCCGTGATTTAATGGGATAAAAACATTGCCTCAGACGGGAATCGAACCCGTAACCTTAAGACACTTACCCGGTCAGAGGGATTGTAAGAGTCTGACACTCTACCAACTGAGCTACCAAGGCATGACTTATCACATCCACATTGTAATATATATTGAACCGTGACACCACCAGGTGTTATGTTCTGCCTTTGAATCTATTATCTGTCCCCCATTCTAGACTTATTTGTCGGACTACATCTTACTGTTGTAGTAGTATTTACAGTGACAAAAGGACAAAGTCATCAGGCTAAGTTAATATATCTTGGGATGCAAAGTTTGAACTTCTACATAGTTCTGCATATGCATTTTGGGACTTAATGGCTAGTTCCATGATCCTTAAAAATATGACATGCGCTTGGAAAAAGAGATATATGTAGGAAGGAGTCTGTGATTTAATCGGATAAAAGTATTGCCTCAGACGGGAATAGAACCCGCAACCTTAAGACTCTTACCCGGTCAGAGGGACTGTAAGAGTCTGACGCTCTACCAATTGAGCTACCAAGGCGTGAGTGCTACCATCCACATCCTGACCCATACTCAACCATGACCCCACCGTTGCCACGTTCTGCATTTGAGCCTGCTATTTTCTTCCCCAGTTCCAGTCTTATTTGTCATCCTACACCTCAATTCTGTTGGCCGTCCTTGACCACCGTCCCGATAGTTTCCCATATTCTGCACATCTCACACGTGCTTCTCAGTCCCTGTTATGTATGATCGCCACTCTCTTCACGGGAACAGTATTCGTATCCCACTCATGTTGCATCTCGGTGTTGGAAGAATATGGATGGGTTGGAAACACCATGGACGAATACGCCGCCTAGCAAGGAAAGTCGCCCTGCAAACCGCGGTCGTAGTCTAGTGCACGTGCTTAACAAAACTGGCGGGTATCTATGTCTCTGCGCTCAGATTCAATTGGGACATACATAATAGCGAGATACGAAGACACTAGAGACTGTCTAAAACAGCGCAAAGAGGAAACTACCGCTGTGGGGACCCTCCATCTCCTTGACCATGACGTCAGGCACGATCATCTGCAATGTACCCTCCAGTCGAGCGCACATACTAGTAATCGTTCTGGTGTGCAACTATCCTCCCATTCCCACTCTTCATCACCACGTCTGACCCCCTCACCTTCTCCTCGGGCTAACCAAATCCCTCTTCCATCTGGGCCACGCGAGTCCATGTATGACGCGTCTATCTCTGGCACGGGTGCATCAGGCAAGGGTCCCGGAACATATTCAGGTACATGACGTCTTTTTTTTTACATTCAGACTGACTCTGTTACTGATTACTGAACTTGGTGCCCACGTGTAGCGAGAGGCTCCTCCATTCTCTGACCGCGACTATTGACGGCTGTGAACACTCGATCGGCCGCTGCGAGACCCGACTTCAAGCGGATGTCCGTGGCTCTGCCTACACTAGCGGCCAGCTGGATGACTCGGATAGCGAGAGTGGAAGCGATAGCGAGACGAACATAACGTCTATGGTAGTGAGAGTGGAGGAAAGGCCAGTTTGGTAGGTGACGGACGGGGACGTATCCAATTTGAAGAAACACGTGGAATATCATCGTTATTAATGGAGTCCTCACTTCCTACAAGCCGCACCTCATCCTTCATCACCGATCCCCGCTCTACACCAGTCTTTACAAACCTGTACGCATCATCCAGTTTCTCACCCTCGCCTCGCTCCGCGTGCACGCGGGGTATCCCTAACCCCAACCAGTCGCTCCCGTTCTCATGTCAGCCCGGAAATCCGCAAGGGCCAACCAAGCCTCAGTCCGGTGTTGAAGCGCATCGTGCAGTTTTGTGAATGACCACCCGATACCCATCTCGCGAGCGGCGAGCGTTGCAATGGGGAACACGACGACGAAGACGAAGATGGAGATAGTAATGCCCATTCGGGCTCTTCGACGAGGAACCCGTCTCCAACACCCGGGATGGTTTCAGGCTTAGGCTCTCAAACATGGGGCCTGTGGCTGTTGGGGAGCTGAAGGTCATGAACGTTAGGAGAAGAGTTACTGAACAAGACGTCATCGGGTACCGGTGGTGAAGGAGTATGTGCGGCTTTAGCAAGTGAATAATCCACGAATAACGATGATAATCTACGCGTTTCTTCGAATTTGATACGTCCCCGTCCGTCGCCTACTAGGATGGCCTTTCCTACACTCGCACTACCATTGACGCCATCTTTGCCATCGATTTCCCTTCCACTCTCGCTGTCCGAGTCATCCCGAGTCATCCAGTGCGCCACCGCCAGTGTATGGCACAGAAAAGGACACAAGCCCTAGCGGCCGATCGAGCCGTCAATAGTCGCGGAGAGATAATGGAGGAGTCTCTCGCCACAAGTTCGCATCAAGCTCAACAACCAAAATGTGATGTACCTGAATATGTTCCGGGACTTTCCTGGTACACCCGCGCTAGAGATAGACGCGTCATACATGGTCTCCGGCGATGTGGGTGGCTCAGATGGAAGAGCGATTGGGCTAGCATGAGGAGAGGGTGAGGGCGTCAGACGTGGTGATCTCGAGTGGGAATGGGGAGATAATTGGACGCGGCCAGAACCAGGGCGATCATGTGGGCTCAAGTGGAGGGTAGATTTCAGATGACATTGTCTGCCGTCAGTCAGCGGCAGTTTCCTCTTTTCTCTGCCTTAGAGGTGTGAAAGGAGCCTCTTCGTCTTATAGGATGACTGTTCTCGGTTTGACACCTAGGAGTCCAGCCATACAATTCCAGACTCTTGTTGCGCTACTTGGGCCTTCCTGACACGCTCTGTGGATGGATAATGGTCTAATCCAGATCGCGAAAATCAGGAGAAATGCGGCTTACCTTTCCGTTGATTTCACAAACGTCTAACCTAGGCATATTTCATTCAGTACCAAGCACGTAACCCTGAACAAGTCTCGTCACATCGCCAAGGTGTAGCGTGACAAGATTTCATGGTAGATGCCGGAGGTGTGCGAAGATCCTGTGATGTGGTGTGTGGTGAGGACTTGCATTTCAAAGCATCCTTTCTGTTGGGCTCACCCATGTACGTAGATGTCCATCCTGCGATCCACTGATGAAGAGATATAGAAGAAACGACGACAAGGCGAGCTTGTTGACGGCTCGCTTGTGTTCCTTTACACATGTCTCTGATTTTAGTCAGTCAAATGGAAGGGGAATAGTCCATCGGTGGTGCCTTACCGTACTTCTTCCCTTGCTTGTTAATGTCTCAGTAAATTATCTTGTCGTTCCGTGCGCTCGTTACAATCTTGGTGTCAAAATCTAAACCACGAAACATTAGTTCGATAATCAAGCTCATTGTATCAGACGCTCACATCCTCTAGCCCATACGAGAGCCGGCCTCCATCATTGCGAGCCCAGGCCCAATGCACATCTCTCAGGGACTATTGCCCTCTTCAGTTCCATAATCTCATATTCTCAATACTCTCAACAGTAATTCGAATATAAGTGAGCTATCAATCGTTATTGTTGACCTGGCCAACTCACCTCCACCTCTCCCGATTACGACGTTGGAAGGGTCACCTGCCGAAGCAAACCTGCCTTCCACGTGCTGTACATGCTCTCGGATAGGGAACGGAACGCGACGGGGGGGAGTGTTACACTGGCCGCATGGGGAGAAATCGGTATTTTGTGCCTTGAATCGAGTGTTAAATAGATGTAAGGATGCAGTGGAGAGAAATATATGGATTATTACCAAGTGACACATGAGAACAGTGGGTAATGCAGGGGAACGCAAAGTGGCTTTGTCGGTCATGTGACGTACCTTCATCAGAGATCCTGGACGAATAAATTCGTCCAAACTAAGTTCCATGCGCAAAAATATTTCATGAAACGGAAATATATATATATATATCTGGTTCACTAGGAATTCTTGATAGGAAGGATCCGTGATTTAACGGGATAAAAATATTGCCTCAGGCGAGAATCGAACCCGCGACCTTGACACTCTTACCCGGTCAGAGGGACTGTAAGAGTCTTACGCTCTACCGACTGAGCTACCAAGGCATGCTTTACTACGTCCACATTGTAATATATATTGAACTGTGACACCACCGTTATCTTCTTCATTTGAATCTGCTATCTTTCGCCCCCATTCCAGACTTATTTGTCGTACTACACCTGTAGTAGTATTTACAGTGACAAAAGGATAAAGTGATGAGGCAAGTCACTATATCTTGGGATGCGAACCTCGAACTTCTACATAATTCTAGATATGCATGTTTGGTACTTCATGACTAGTTCCATAATGGTTAAAAATATTTCATGTGCTTGGAAAAAGAGATATATATAGGAAGGGAGTGTGGTTTAATGGGAAAAAAGTATATCCTCAGGCGGGACCCGAACCCGCACCCTCAACAGTCTTAACCGGTCACAGGGACTGTAAGAGCCTTATGCTCTACCAATTGAGCTACCAAGGCATGGTTTGTGATAGCTACCTTGTAACACATACTGAACCACGACACCACCATTGTTACATTCTGCAGTTGAATCTGTATTTATCATACTACACCTTAATTTTGTTGTACTTCCACTAAGCCTGAGGATTGAGGTTATCTGTGATCATCACTCATCCTCATCTATAATGCCTGACAGTATTTTCTTGTCATTGGTTTTAAAAAAAGTTTGACATGAGCAAACAATACTTTATCAGGGAAAATTTATAATTCTTCTTGCCTAGATCTCTGATTTCATAGGCCATTGCCACACTGACTTGTGAGTGGCACATCAGATCAGAGCATGGGGGCCACTGTCAACATTGTCCTTAATATAGATATGAAAACAACATGGCCCACTGTGACACCAACTCAGAAGTCTGTTCAAAGGGGAGGGCTTGTCTGTGAGGGAAAATATGACATTAGGGGATGCACAGCTTAAACAGCATTGGGATTAGGTATGTAAGTTTTTGATTCTTGGGATTGTATTCAATGGATGCCAATGAATGCAGATAAAATCCTTTGTTACACATTTGCAGCACTTCCCTACAAAGAATCTATGGAGCACATGGTAAAGGCCCAATCCAGCATGGAACTGAATTTGAGATACACATTGGATGAAAATTAGGATTACATATGGTGCATGATACATATACATATTTTCATAACTCATCTCTGCTGTTTAAATACATAGGGACAATACTGTTAGGTTTTGGGACAGCTTGAGGTGCAGAATGCTCTGGTAGACTACATGAAGTGTATTACATACACATTAAGATACAGAGCTTCTTTGTCCACTGCGCACATCATCCAGTCAGCATTGTTATATTTCGGTCAGCTATTTGCAAGTTTCTATCAGGCTATGGGCCCCACCAGTGCATCAACTCTCATACATTCTCATTTCTTCTCCTTTCCCCCTTTTCCACTATTTCTTTTCAACATCTCACACTGTGATATCTGCAAAGAAGGAAGCCAAGAATTCTCCAACTCATGTACAGTTGATGAATGCTCAGACATCTGATGCCCACCATTGGGAACATTGTGCAGAAATGTCCCAAGAAAATCCAATGGAATGTTCTGAAAAGCAACAAAGTGTTGAATGGAAGGACTTTTGGCAACAACTGTGGCAAGAATGCTGGCAACTCCAGCAATAATAATACAAGCCTATCAAATAATGATTGAAAAAATGACCAGATGACCATGAAGAGCAATAAGGGAAAACAGTCAACTTCCAAAAAACCTGACATATTTCATTTGTTAGGTTCCAATGGAAAGCCCACAGCCAAGGAGAAACAGTGGCACATGGATAACAACTTCTGCCTAGGATGTGTAAAAGATGGACAGAAGGTTTCCAAATACACTGTCATGGATGTTGATTGGCATATATCAATGTGTTTATGGCATATATATCAGACTTATGACCATCTGTAGACTTATGGAGAGTGATTCAAAGAAGAGGGTGATGAACATGGGGGCTTGGCTTGAAAGTCCAGAAAGGTTTAGGATACCTGGCATCTAGCCTTGTCTATCTCCGTGTTCGTCTTCGTCGTCGTGTTCCCCATTGCCACGCTCGTCGCTTGCGAGATGGGTATCGGGTGGTCCTTCGAGAAGCTGGATGATGCGTGCAGGTTTTTAAAGAACGGTGTAGAGCGGGGATCGGTGATGAAGGATGATGTGCGGCTTGTAGGAAGTGAGGACTCCATTAATGACGATGATATTCCACCCGTTTCTTCGAATTGGATACGTCCCCGTCCGTCACCTACCAAACTGGCCTTTCCTCCACTCTCACTACCATAGACGTTATGTTCGTCTCGCTATCGCTTCCACTCTCGCTATCAGAGTCATCCAGCTGGCCGCCGCTAGTGTAGGCAGAGCCACGGACATCCGCCTAAAGTCGGGTCTCGCAGCGGCCGATCGAGTGTTCACAGCCGTCAATAGTTGCGGTGAGATAATGGAGGAGCCTCTCGCTACATGTTTGCATCAAGTTCAATCACAAAGTCATGGTCAATGTAAAGAAAACGTCATGTACCTGAATATGTTCCGGGACCCTTGCCTGATGCACCCGTGCTAGAGATAGACGCGTCATACAGAAGAGGGCTTGGGTTAGCCCGAGGAGAGGGTGAGGGGGTCAGACGTGGCGATGAAGAGTCGGAATGGGCGGATAGTTGGACACGGGCAGAACAATGGCTATCATGTGGGGTCGACTGGAGGGTAGATTGCAGATGACCGTGCTTGGCGTCATTGTCAAGGAGATGGAGGGTCCCCACAGCGGTAGTTTCCTCTTTGCTCTGCGTTAGAGGTGTGTAAACAGTGCCTTCGTATCCCGCTATCATGTCCCAATTGAATCTGAGCGCAGAGACATACATACCCGCCAATTTTGTTCAGCACGTGCACTAGACCACGACCGCGGTTTGCAGGGCGACTTTACTTACTTGCTAGGTGGCGTATTCGTCCATGGTGTTTCCAACCCATCCATATTTTTCCAACACCGAGATGCAATATGAGTTGGATAGGAGTACTGTTCCATTTAAAGGAGTGGGGATCAGACATAGGAAGGACTCAGATACACTTGTGAGATGTGCAGAACATGGAAAACTGTCGGGACGGTGGCCAAGCACGGCCAACGGAATTGAGGTGTAGTATGACAAATAAGTCTCGACTGGCAAAGAAAATAGTTGGTTCAAACGCAGAACGTGACAACGGTGGTGTCATGGTTAAGTATGGGTCAGGATGTGGATGGTAGTACTCACGCCTTGGTAGCTCAATTCGTAGAGCGTCAGACTCTTACAGTCCCTCTGACCGGGTAAGAGTCTTAAGGTTGCCGGTTTGATTCCCGTCTGAGGCAATATTTTTATCCCGTTAAATGACGGACTCCTTCCTACATAAATATCTTTTTCGAAGCGCATGACATAGTTTTAAGAATCATGGAACTAGCTATTATGTTCAAACTTTGCATCCCACGATATATTGACTTAGCCTGATGACCTTATCATTTTGTCACTGTAAATACTACAACAACAACAGTAAGGTGTAGTCCGACAAATAAGTCTAGAATGGGGGACAGATAGCAGATTCAAAGGCAGAACATAACAACGGGGTGTCACGGTTTAATATATATTACAATGTGGGTATAATAACCCATGCCTTGGTAGCTCAGTTGGTAGAGCGTCAGACTCTTACAGTCCCTCTGACCGGGTAAGAGCCTTAAGGATGCGGGTTCGATTCCCGCCTGAGGCAATATTTTTATCCCAATAAATCACGGACTTCTTCCTACATATATTTCTTTTTCCAAGTGTATGAAATATTTTTGAGAATTATGGAACTAGCCACTAAGTACCAAACTTGCATATTTAGGTCATAGTCTGAAAGGAAGGCTGATTGGACGATCACATGTGTTATCTCTCATGATGGGTGGGGAGGCCGATGTTTGGGAGCGGAAAATGGGTCCGAAACTTCTGCGGAAAATGGGTTCCGGGGTATAAGAACAACTCCACGATTTGTGGATTCGATGTGCATTCTCAGGGGGGTCACAATACTCCGCGGGAATACTTTGCTGGGCGGCAGAATGTTACACATCCTCAACAAGAGCCACGATAGCGATAGCCGTCCTTACTGAATTCCATAACAATACATGTCTTTGTAGCTACAATTCTATCTCATTCCTATCATTATTATTCTTTGGATTTCTGGAGATTTTACAGTAACCAGTACATTGCTTACCTTCGGCAGCAAACCATCTATAAGATCCCAGACATCCTTGTGGACGAGAAGTACTTTCATATACACACACCATGTACCATAATTTTCTTCCCCTAGTTTTTGAAAGTAATTCTCATTCCCCATTTTTGAATAAGTGTGCAATGCCGATATAGATTAGTGAGAAAAATGAAGATAAGGTGTGCAGTGCCAAGTTAGATGTACTGCCCCAGAATCCTTTCTGTGCATGTACTGTGACTCCTAAGTCCTTTTATATGGTCACCTTCAATATACTGCCCTAGAGTCATTCCCATGCAAGTATTGTGGCTTCTAAGCCCTTCTATATGGCCACCTAAAAAGAATATGATGAGTAACTACTGGAAGGAATGAAAATGCATGGTGATGAATATGAGAGATACATAAGTCTGCGGGGCCTATAACCTGTAGGAATATGGTGCAGATGTATATCGGGACATGGTGGACATGAGCAAAGAGTGTTAGTATCACTAAACAGCTATACAGTAGTTACTTATCTATTTACAAAAGAATGCAAGATTACTAATTATATATACAGTGACTCTCAAAACCTTTTGAATGTTTGACATTTGCATATTGGCAGGCTACTACAAGGGGAGATAAAATAGCAAATAATCTCAAGCAAATACAGTATATAGCTAAACATGTGTAGAATCGGTGTCTAAAGTATCATTATGTAATATCCATTTTTGGGTATGCTAAAAATAACCTATTCAGGCCTGTTCATTGAAAAGGTTTTGATGCTGATGATTATGATGCAATATATGCTATATTAACTGGCCAAATCACATGATTTTGTTTATTCAACATGGTCATGTGACTTGTTGATTTATACTCAATTCTGACATTCCTAGCTCTTTTTATTACCAGAAATCCATCATCGACTCCATCACACCTGATCAGCGACAATACATTATCTCCCAGCTTGAAGATCGCCATTCCACTCCATACATTGCCTCAATAACTGGAATTAGCATTAGTACTATCTTGTTAAGGGTGCATACATGAAGGGTTTCCAGAGAAACCCATGGGAAATCTGGTAGGACTTGGCTTCAGCTTATAGGCTGCACCCTCACGAGATCGTGTTGTCCAATTTCAAACCGGCAGATGGGAATCCTGGGCAGTCCGGGCAGGGTTAATGGGTCAAGAGGTCAGGGAGTTGTGTTAGGGTACTGTACATACATGGCGGGTTTCTGGAGAAACCCATGGAATATCCGGTAGGACTTGGCTTCAGCTTATAGGCTGCGCCCTCA